TTTTCCACCATACAAAAATATAGTGGAATTATATGTGACTGCTGTTGCCCATGCAATTTTAATGGTATAATTTAAATTCGTTGTGAGATTGATCAGTGGTTGTGATAGCGACTGACGGGGTTCGGTAGCATTAAGATAGTATATACATTGAGATATGTCCCCAGAATAAGTATTACCACCGAAAATGAAAAGCCTATCATTAACCAATACCGATGAATGACCATAAATCGATGGGTAATAAGCCGAACATGTGGGATCAGGAAATAAATATATGATAACAGCAATTAGTATGAGATTTTGTATGAGAAATTTCATGGTAGCGTTTCTTTCAGAAGGGTGAATTCAAATTCAATTCTCAATAAACGTTCGAGAAATACAGAATTTCTCATTTAGTTACACTGAGATGCACTTACATGCACGAAGAGGTATTTCCTTACGTACTGTATCACGATGACTAAAGTGCCAGATATACTATATAAAGAAGTTGTTTATTAGAAGAAATAAAAATGGAATTGGGAAAAAAGTTACATTACGAACCATATCTAACTGCCGTGAATGAGACAAATTATAGCATTTTTATTTTTTCTTTCAGGGACCATTGGTTTCACTCCGGATCCAAGATATAGTCCAATATCAAATAAAATAGATAATAGACTCTATTATGCTAGTGGATACGGCAAAGTCAAATATCTAAGTGATATATTTTACTTGGATTTGTCTACTCCACTTGACACTACAAACCCGAGATGGGTAAACTTAGATACAAGTGCGCCAGTTTCTGTCATATATTCTACCTCAATAATTAGCCCGTTAGATCAAACCATGTACTTGATTGGCGGTTTTATGACGAATCCTATTACATACCTACCGTATTTCGATACATTTACATATACATTTGATTCTAATAATTCAAGATGGAAAATTCCCATTATGAGTGGTAATGAACCGAAGGGGTTTCAGGAAATGAACGCTGTGGTGGACAAAGCAGGAAGAGTGTACATCTTTGGTGGATGCAGGATTACCAATTACACCAGTCGTGCTGCTAATTATTATAATACAATGTATATCCTGGACATTAGTTCAAAAACTTGGACAAATGTACAACAGTCCCTGAATTTTCCCAATCCACGGATAGATTATGCTGCCGTACTCTTATCAAATGGTATTATTGTCTATGTTGGCGGGGCAGAATACATTGGCAGCGATAACAGCCTGGCACTAGTTAACTTAAAAAAGGTAATACATATATACCAAATGTCAAAATAATTTCATCGCATAACATAATGACATTTATAACTTTATATTTATTAGCTTAATCTTTTTGATACTAATAACCTAAATTGGACTCTAATGGTACAGTAAATGTGATCAAATGGTAAAGTTTGATTTTAACATACATAAAGTTATTTATTTGCTACTATTATTATTATTTATTTTGTAATTACAGGAAACGACAGGTGATAGTTTGGATGCACGTCGATTTCATACTGCTGTATTGAGTATGTATGCTTTGTAAAATCAATTAAGATTACATTTAATATATTACCATCTACGCTGCGCTTAGCTCTAGCTTACATAATCTTTACAGGTCCAAATGAAGGAATCGTCATTTACGGAGGAGAAGATACTGATAGCAGACCGGTCCTTCCAAGTCTTGCTATATTAAAAACCACCACCATACCATATAATTGGTACATTCCTAATTCGACTGATGTGCCAGATTTAACTGTTGTGCCCCCGCTATCCAGGCATTCAGCAATAATGTATGGAAATTACATGATCCTTGCTTTTGGTAAACATCAAAAAATACTCTCACTCTTCTAAAGTCAAACTGTTGATACTGAATACCGTATTAATTCTTTTACACTTTCAAAATCAGGCTTTATCCCAAATAAGCAGGCTAATATTACAAATTTTAATGTGCAACTATATTCTATTTGTGTTTCGTGTACTAATGTGGCTACTCCACCTAAATCATCTGACAGCTCAACAAACAAGACAACAATAATATTATCGATTGTTATCCCAGCATTTATCTTAATTTGCTTTATTTGTTGCCTTATATGATATGCCAAGGCAAGATCACAATGATTTTGTCATTGGACTATAATAAAACAATTCTTATAAAAACCTTTTAATAATTGAATCGATATGATTTTTTTTTAGCAAAGAAACATCAAATTCATGTGCGACGCGTTAGTAAATCAGTACATAGTGACTTGAATTTATTGAAGTTGTCTAAAATAAAACATGATGTGAAAATCTATGGCAAACCAGATACAACTAAAAACCCAACATAATTTTATTAGTATTGATCTCTCACATAATTTGATTGCTAATTCTAATAATGCATTCTCCGAATTTAAGAATGCATAAAAAAGTTTGAACTATGAGATCGTCAAAAAAATTATAAATCGATAATAATTTCACGAGAATACATTACATATTAGTAACAAAATTTAAAACAATTGCAAAGTCTAAAACATTACAAGTCCAAAAATATATTAAAATTAAATTATAGGCCTGTCAATTATTGTTAAATTCTGTTTATCCGAGATGCATACACATTATATACAGTAGGAGTCATAAAATATTTTTTAAAAAATGCTCCGAATTAAAACATAAATAACCAAAAAAATTACAAAATAAATATATACTATAGAAAAACAAAAATTTTAAAATTGTTTTTATCATAAATACTAAATTTAAAAGAAAAATTTATATTTTTTAAAAATTATAAATGGAAGCATAGTTCATGTTAAAAAATAATTGATATTGGGATTTTTAACTATTTACCAAAAAAATAAAATGTATTTATTTAACAAGAATTAAAAAAAATTTTTTTAACAAAGCGACATTGATTTTTTTACTAATACTGTACATGATTAAATAATATAAAAATATAACAATTTATTTTTTAATTAATCAAAAACTAAAACTAATGATTATAAAAAAATGATTACAATAAAAATTTCTAATTAAATTTCAATAAATATATTTCAAATCTAAATTATATCAATAAACTTTAAAAATATAAAAACTGCTTTAATTAATTTATTTAATTTGATATTTTTAGTCAATAAATAAGCAATTATTTGTTATAATTGATGATAATAATAAATTTAAAAATTATAAAATATAATTAAAATAATTGTAAATTAATTGTTAAAATATTTATATTGGCTTTATACAGTATAATGGTGCAAATATATTATTTGATATACAAAATTTATTTTATCTAAGAATTATAGAAATCAAATAGAATTTATTAATTGAAAATATTATTGTAAAAAATATTATTTGTATCAAAAAATTCAAGTCATAATTAAAGTTTTTATAATAAATAGACATTACTGCATAGTTTTAAAAATATTATTAAATTAAATTTATATTTATATTATATATAATATTATAATATATTTGAAATAAATGTTTTATTAATAACGGTAATGCGACGTTACACTAGTAGCACATCCTGAGGATTGGCGATAACAGTGACTAGAATACTGGGATCAGTCTCTATAATAATATTCCATATGACCTTCCCTTGGCAGGCAGCCGAAAAATACGATTGGACCAATAGGATGGTAGGTTTAAACTAGAGGTAGGACTTCCTTTATCCTGTGTAAGTCCCACCTGGCGTGAGCCTATCTACTTGATACAAGCTGGCCAACCAGAATAGTCAGGTTGGACTTTGGAAAATCAGTATTACTGGAAATAGTAAATACTAGGTAGCATTAATTTACATTCTAGAATAGCAATAATTTAGTTTGTAAAGATGTTTGATGTAATGACAGTACTATCAATTAGTAAATAAAGTCTCGCA